CCCTTCGAGGTGGGCGTTCTCCTGCTGAGGGGATCCGTTCGCTCCCTGCCCCCCTCGGGAGTCGCATGGCGCCGTCGATCGGATCACTCGCATGTCACGTCCCCCTTTCGTCCCCGACCATATTGGCGATCTCTTGCAGGCGGCGCATGTCGCCGGCAGACTTCGCGACCCCAGCAACAAATGCACAAGTGCGCCCGCAGCGTTCGCGCAACATCTGGCATCCCGCCCTTGCCGCGCCCAGGTGGGGGGAGGGGCGTGAGAGGAGGGGCAGGAGGAGGGGGGGGGGAGGATGAGGAGGAGGAAAAGGAGGAGGATGAGGAGGGAGGGAACACGCGGCACGCGAAAGATCGACTCACCCTTCGAGGTGAGAGTCCTCTTGCTGAGGGGACCCGTTCCCTCTGTCAGCCCCTTCTGTCAGCCCCCGTCTTGGGTACTTTGTTCTGGCCCCGCACGTGGTGCAGGAGGGCCCCGGAAGGGTCCATGGCCAAAGGTGGTGCCGAGGCGGCCCCGAGATGGGCCCCAGGACAGATGAATGCGCTCACAGACTGTGTTTTGAGGGAGCTCATTCGGGACGCGTCTAAGACATGTCTGGCCCCGCTCGCGGCCCAAGAGGCCCCCAAGAAGGCCCAAGACGTAGCCCAATTTGCTGCCAACAGAGCCCGTTCAAGCGGCCGATCACCAAACCATTAATGTTAACTTAATGTCCTGATGGTCCGTTTCGAAGCGCGTCTAAGGAATGTATGTCCAACTCCGCTCGCGGCCCATGAGGGCCGTCAGATAGCTTGAGAAGCGGGCCAACATTGCGCCAATGGCACCCAAGCGGGCCCCAGGGGGATCCAAGATATGCCATGCCAAGGCATAGCCCTGGCGAGGCTTCCCCGTCGGCCCGTCGGGGCAGATGCCCTTGCGGCCACTGGCGAGGCCGCCTCGCCAGGGAGTTCGCCCCAGCGAGGCGGTCTCGACAGGGCATCTGCCCCGACGGGGCAGCTCGTCAGGGCGGTTGCCCTGGCGGGGCACCTCGTCAGGGCAGTTGCCTTGGCGCGGCCGCCATGGCATCTGCCCTGACAGGGCAGCTCATCAGGGCAATTGCCCTGGCGGGGCGGCCTCGTCAGCGCAGTTGCCCTGGCGGGGCCAGCTCGCCAGGGCAGTTGCCCTGGCGCGGCCGCTTCGTCAAGGCAGTTGCCCTGGCGAGGCGGCCTTGCCAGGGCAATTGCCCTGGCGGAGTGGCCTCGTCGGGGCAGTTGCCCTGGCGGGGCCGCCTCGTCGGGGCAGTTGCCCTGGCGGGGCGGCTCGCCAGGGCAGTTGCCTCGGTGAGGCCGCCTTGCCAAGGCATCTGCCCCGGCGGGGCAGCTCGTCAGGGCAGTTGCCCTGGCGGGGCGGCCTCGTCAGGGCAGTTGCCCTGGCGGAGCGGTTCGTCGGGGCAGTTGCCCTGGCGCGGCCGCCCCGTCAGGGCAGTTGCCTTGGCGAGGCAGATTGTTGGGGCAGTTGCCCTGGCGGCGCGGCCTCGTCGGGGCAGTTGCCCTGGCGGGGCGGCTCTTCGGGGCAGTTGCCCTGGCGGGGCGGCTCGTTAGGGCAGATGCCATGGCGAGGCGGCCTCGTCGGGGCAGTTGCCCTGGCGGGGCCGCGTCGCCGGGGCAATTGCCCTGACAATCTGCCCCGCCAGGGCAACTGCCCCGACGAGCCGCCCCGCCAGGGCAACTGCCCCGACGAGGCCGCCCCGCCAGGGCAACTGCCCTAACGAGATGCCCCGTCGGGGCAGATGCCCTGGCGATTCGGCCCCGCCAGGGCAATTGCCCCGACGAGCCGCCCCGCCAGGGCATTTGCGCCGACGAGCCGTCCCGCCAGGGCAACTGCGCCGACGAGACCGCCCTGCCAAGGCAACTGCCCTAACGAGCTGCCGCGTCGGGACAGATGCCCTGGCGAGGCGGCCCCGCCAGGGTAACTGCCCTGGCGAGGCCGCCTCGCCAGGGCAACTGCCCCGACGAGGCGGCCGCGCCAGGGCAACTGCCCCGACGAGCTGCCCCGCCAGGGCAACTGCCCTGACGAGGCCGCCCCGTCAGGGCAACTGCCCTGACGAGCTGCGCCGCCAGGGCAACTGCCCCGACGAGCCGCCCCGCCAGGGCAACTGCCCTGACGAGGCCGCCCCGCCAGGGCAACTGCCCTGACGAGCTGCCCCGCCAGGGCAACTGCGCCGACGAGGCCGCCCCGCCAGGGCAACTGCCCCGACGAGCCGCCCCGCCAGGGCAACTGCCCCGACGAGCCGCCTCGCCAGGGCAACTGCGCCGACGAGGCCGCCCCGCCAGGGCAACTGCCCCGACGAGGCCGCCCCGCCAGGGCAACTGCCCTGGCGAGCCACCCCGTCGGGGCAGATGCCCTGGCGAGGCGGCCCCGCCAGGGCAACTGCCCTGGCAAGGCCGCCTCGCCAAGGCAACTGCCCCGACGAGGCGGCCGCGCCAGGGCAACTGCCCCGACGAGCCGCCCCGCCAGGGCAACTGCCCTGACGAGGCCGCCCCGTCAGGGCAACTGCCCTGACGAGCTGCCCCGCCAGGGCAACTGCCCCGACGAGCCGCCCCGTCAGGGCAACTGCCCTGACGAGGCCGCTCCGCCAGGGCAACTGCTCTGACGAGCTGCCCCGCCAGGGCAACTGCGCCGACGAGGCCGCCCCGCCATGGCAACTGCCCCGACGAGCCGCCCCGCCAGGGCAACTGCCCCGGCGAGCCGCCCCGCCAGGGCAACTGCGCCGACGAGGCCGCCCCGCCGGGGCAACTGCCCCGACGAGGCCGCCCCGCCAGGGCAACTGCCCTGGCGAGCCACCCCGTCGGGGCAGATGCCCTGGCGAGGCGTCCCCGCCAGGGCAGCTGCCCTGGCAAGGCCGCCTCGCCAAGGCCCGACGAGGCGGCCGCGCCGGGGCAACTGCCCCGACGAGCCGCCCCGCCAGGGCAACTGCCCTGACGAGGCCGCCCCGTCAGGGCAACTGCCCTGACGAGCTGCCCCGCCAGGGCAACTGCCCCGACGAGCTGCCCCGCCAGGGCAACTGCCCTGACGAGGCCGCCCCGCCAGGGCATTGGCCCTGACGAACTGCACCGCCGGGGCAACTGCGCCGACGAGGCCGCGCCGCCAGGGCAACTGCCCCGACGAGCCGCCCCGCCAGGGCAACTGCCCTGACGAGCCGCCCCGCCAGGGCAACTGCGCCGACGAGGCCGCCCTGCTAGGGCAACTGCCCCGACGAGGCGGCCCCGCCAGGGCAACTGCCCCGGCGAGGTGGCCCCGTCGGGGCAGATGCCCCGACGAGGCGGCCCCGCCAGGGCAACTGCCCTAACTAGCTGCCCCGTCGGGGCAGATGCCCTGGCGAGGCGGTTCCGCCAGGGCAACTGCCCCGACGAGCTGCCCCGTCGGGGCAGATGCCCTGGCGAGGTGGCCTCGCCAGGGCAACTGCCCCGACGAGCTGCCCCGCCAAGGCAACTGCCCTGGCGAGCCGCCCCGCCAGGGCATTGGCCCTGACGAGCTGCCCCGCCGGGGCGAACGCCCTGGCGAGGCCGCCTCGCCAGGGCAACTGCCCTGGCGAGGCGGCCCCACCAGGGCAACTGCCCTGGCGAGGCCGCCCCGCCAGGGCAATCGCCCTGACGAGCTGCCCCGTCAGGGCAACTGCCCCGTCGAGCGGCCTCGTCAGGGCGTCTGCCCCGACAGGGTTCGCCCCTGCCACCTCTTCAGGACGGACGAGGGCGCCTTGTTGGAGCCGATAGCGCGGTGCAAGTTGCTGTGAGGGCATCGCTCCAAGCTTGGGCGTGCGCGCGCGCAACAATGGAACAATGCGTTTGAGTTAGCGCGGTTGCAAGCTAAGCAAACAACAAACCCATCCAACAAACTAAAACATTAGAAGCCTAACCATCAGGAAGTGCGCGCACTTACATTAACGGCATAATCACAAACGTCGGCACAATGCACAGAAACAACCCAATGCAGGCACTCGCAATGACATTGGCAGCACGCCGCAGCCGTTGTGGCTCGAGTGGGTCGAGCCTGGATGCGTCCAGGCGTCACGCACTCAAGGCGCTTGAGCAATTACAGCTGTTGTTCGCTCCGCGCCAGTTTCTTTCGACTTTCGGCCCATGGATATCCCGGAGGAGTACAAGAGGCACGCCTTCTTTGTGCGCGATGCCGACATTGAGAAGTTCTTCAACGGCAAGGAAGTCCTGCTGAGCTTCAAAAGCTTCCACCACCAGCCGCGCATCCCTACGGGGGTCTACTTGGTGACGGCTCGTAACAGGAGCCTCGTTGCCCGCATGACGGCGCAGTACTATGGCATATCGAGCACGGACCACGTCAGTCAACAAGGCTCCGTCCAATGTTGCAAGCACAAGATGTCCCTGGAGGAGCTGCGGGAGTTTGCCCATGCGCAGTCGCCTAGAGGCAGCGGGAGCCTGGAATCATGAGGATTGGGTTGTGCCTTCGTTGCCCCTGCTTCATCTGGCCCCCCCATCGTATCTTGTCGTCCCTTGGGAACTTGAGCTTGCCCCGACCACGGCCTGACCTGCCTCCTCGGTCTGGCCTGTGCCCCCCCCCGGGAGTCGGCAACATCAGCAACGACACAAGCAACAACAACAACATCACCAACAACAACAACATCAACAACAACAACACCAACACCAGCACCAACACCAACACCAACACCAACACCAACACCGCCAACGACAGCGACAACAACAACACCAACAACACACCAGCAACAGCAACAGCAACAACAACATCAACAACAACGACAACAACAACACCACCACCACCAACAACAAAACCAACATCAACATCAACACCAACAACAACAGCAACACCAACAACACCAACATCACAGCATCACCAACAACAACAGCAACAACAAGCAACAACAACAGCAGCAACAACAACAACAACAACTGATGCCGACCTTGAGGCCACATCAGCTGAGAATAGGGGGAGGCGACTGGCGTGACGCAACAGCCTTGCCTCTCCACTCTGCAGGCAAGATGTATGCGATCGAGCTGCGCTCGGCCAAGGCGTTGCAGCCGTGGATGGCGGTCGTGAGCTCTACAAGCATCAAGGACAAGGTGCCCTGGGGAGCGCCTGGGGGAGGCAGGGGAGAGAATGGTGGAGGACTCGGAGAGGAAGGACTCCTTCCCTCTCGGAGAGGGGAGGGGGAACCTGAGGAGGGAGGACATGTCTGGACAGAGCTTTGGAAGCACTTGGCTTTCGATGACCATCAATGGGTCTTGGACGGGCCGCGTGCCCTTGAGCTGAACGGTGGGCCTATATGGTTTTAATGATGGGATTGTTTAGTTGTGTAATTGGGCGATTGGATGGTTGCAAGAGTGCGCTTGCTTCCTGCCAGGTGCACTTCATCTTCGACATGCGCAGCGTCATCAAGTGCCAGCCGCCCACGTCCCCCGTGCAGAGTGTGCCGCAAGTTCCAGCGCTGCAAGATGGTTCTGCTTCTGAGGCTGAGCCTGAATGTGCGGTGGTGACGCCTGCGAGGTCCCACTTGGAGGCATCGTCCGGCGCGTCGTCGTTCGGGTCGGGTGCTTCCTCGGCCTCGCCACACCAGCTGCTTCAGGATCCCAGTCGGGCTGGGCGGTTGGCGGTCGACCTCCTCGAAGTGATGCAGATTGAGAACGACTTCGACAGCGGGGGTGACTCTAGCGGCGCTAGCGGGAGCGCGGTCAGGGCAGCCAAGGCAGAGAGGGCGCCTTGGGATCAGGTGGCCGAGCGAGTGGATGCACAGAATCAGCGTTTGTCTCTGGCCACGGGCGAGCCCAACAAGAAGGTTGCCGAGGCGCACAAGTTCAATGACAAGTTCACATTCGAGGTCACCTACCCTAAGGAATTCACTTCGACACGCAATCTGATGGGCATGTTCGCCTGGCCTCAACACATGTACAAAGCAATCGATGCGTCGGACGGCCTCAACAACGCCTTGGTGCAGCCGAACGTGGACGACGATCTGGACTCGTGCGTATATAGAGGCATGCCTGCAGCGATGACCAGGTTCATCCACAATATGACGTATACATCGGTGGGCCTCGGTTGGGCTGGCGTGGACGCGCCAGGGACAGCGATCAACATGATGAGTTGCCAGTTGCTGACGTACTTGAAAGATGTCAAGGGGACTTCCTACGTGCCGCCGCAGAGGGATAACATGTTCCACCCGATCATGAAGTACGCCGTGGAGGTGGAGCACACCAACAGGCAATAATTGAAGCTGGCACCTGTCCCTCCAAGATGCATCTTCGGGGACTACGAGGACTTCTGGAAGCCGGAGATCAAGGCGACGATCAACCGCATGAAGCAACAGGGCAAGCAGGTGGGCCCGAGCGTGAAACGCGTTTGCTGCTTTTGCTTGGGTTGCTGGTTGCTACTCTTGCTCATCCCCACCCCTTGAAGAATGTACGGGCGGGGGGGACATGAGCCCGAATTTCTCGTCGACTCGTCTTCCCCCTCACGGAGGGCCCCCATGCTGACTGCCCACCTGGAAACTCAGCAGGTGGACTTGAACAGCCTCCTCCCGCTGATCCTCAGCGACAGGTCCGTGAAGCTGAAGGCGGAGTGCTACCGGTGCGGTGGCGGCAAGCAGTGCGTCTTGGAGTGCTGCGACGTTCACGTGGCAGGCGTCTCTCGCAAAGCTTTTTCAAAGTTCGGCAAGAGGGAGGGCGTGGAGTCCACTGAGCACATGAGCGCCATGGCGGCCTGGGCTGCGACGGTCAGGGCCACGAAACCGAAGGTGGTCATCTTCGAGAACTCAGACAGGTTCAGGGAAGAGATCTTGCACTCTCTGTTCAAGGACATGTACGCCATCGAGGGCTTGAAGTTGGGCGGCCCGTACTTCGGCTGGGCAGGGAAACGCGACAGGTACTGCGCAGTCATGGTCAACAAGGACAGCTGGCGGACATTGATAAACCGCATTTCGACCACCCAGACACCAGGGCCCTCGGGAATTTATAAGGGCCGCGCGGTCCGAGATCCTCGTGGCGGGGGCCATCGAGCCGACACTTGTCCCAGGGCCCTTATGGAGATCTGGAGCTCTCGGCCCCCTACGCTATAAGATCAAACAACTTGAGGGACCTCAGGTTTCGAGTTCTGGCTTCGAGGTCCCAGTTCGATTAGCAGTGGGTGTCGGAGGGCGGTCGGGCTGGGCCCCGAGAGGTTTCCAAGATGGGGGGCCCAAGAGGCAAGTAGGTACCTGCAGACCCAGGACCTGGAAACACTGCGAAAGATAGAAGACTCACCCTGGCCTGGAGACATAGGGCTACACGAAATTAGGAATCTATGTATTTGCCCAAGCTCTTTTGTGCCGAGGAGTTTGTCACCGGGGTGGTGTTCAGCATGCGGAACGTGCTTCCTCTTTTCCACAGGGCGCTGGAGACGACGTTCATGGAGTTCCTGGTCGGGCATAAAGACAGACGGCTGGGGAAGCAATTGGAGGAGGAGCTGAACTGGGCGGCCGGGCGCCCGACGTCGAGGGCGTCCAAGTACCAGAACGTCACCGAGCTCAAGGAGAAGGCGAAGTATCCGTACTACGACGCTTTGACTTTCGGCGAGATCAAGTTCCTGGACCAGTACGAGGTGAAGGGCGGCCTCGAGAAGAGATGCGCGATGCTCAACCAGAGCGAAGACCGCGGCTATGGGATCAAGAGCAGCGAGGACGGGATACTCCATCCCCTGGTTCGCAACCCTGCGATACATTTCGTGGTGGACACGGAGAACAACATCAAGAGGTGGCTGTCAGGGTACGAGATGCTGGTGTGCCAAGGGTTCCCAGTGCTCAACGAATTAGCCAACCCTGGCGGCGAGTTGACGAGGGCGTGCAGCTTCGGGCGTTGCCTCGAAGACAACGACCTCCCGACGCGCTTCCGCAGCACCATGGTTAAGCAGGCGGGGAACACGATGCAAGTACCAGTGGTTGGCGCTGTGTTGGCTTACGTCTACTTGTGCGTGAGGTTCGGTGACAAGATGCCTCCGCAGGTGTCAATTCCGGGCGACCTCTCCCAGGAGCTCGCGCGCCCGTTCGCAGAGGACCCCTTCGACACGCTGGGCGAGATCTTCATGGCCAGGACCAAGCGTAGCAGGAGCAGCTAGATCGATGATTCAGATATCCTGCGTGTCTCCCCTTTCAGACGTGAAGATCTGGGTATTCAGTGCCGTTCGAGCTACTGTGAGTCGGGCCCCGCTCTATCTGTGCACTGCGCTGTGCACGACTCGTGTGTTTTCTATCCTGCGACGGGCGCAAGCGCCTTTTGATTTGAGTCGATCCGCTGAAGGCATGTGCCGTTCGACCGATCTGGTAGGCCGAGCTGCGGAGAGACGTGCGTGACGACACCGTGACGAGGTGTTGTTCGTTCCATCCGGGTTCGCGGAACACACGGCATCGCGACGTGCATAGAGGCAAGCTAGCGCAAGCAAGCAACAATAGAGCAATGCCAGCACTGTGCAACCGCTAAGGTTGATGAGCGTATGTTAGGTGAGATGTAAAGTGCGCGGGTATGTGTCAATGTGCATGGCCTGTGCCCATCATTGTGCTTGCTCAGTATTTGCTTTCTACCAGCGTTGATTCCAAATCGGAATGTGTCATGTTGGGGAGTGGACAGGTCAGGGCGGGGCACGGCATCGCATAACATAAGAACCCTAGGAGGAGCGACGGAAAACATCGGCTCCGAGAAGGCACCCATGGGCCCATGGGCCTCGGCAAGATCGTACACTCGTACACGTTCAAAATATGGGGCCTGGGGTACGGATGCCGTTCAGCGTAACGCTGTAGGACTGTAGGATCCATTCCTATAGGCAAGCCTGTTTGGAGGATAAGGCATTCGTCCTCCCGATGCGCGCGCAAGTGCATGTGCTTGCGCCTCCTGTCCAGCGGGCCCCTTGGGGCCCTGAGGCGTTGCAGAACCCATCTTGGTCGAGACCAGGAGGTTGCCTTGGGGCCCTGGGCGGCTCTGCCCAAGAGTGGGAATGGTGTGTATCCTCCTTCTTCTTCTTCTTCTCGCCCTGCCTCCTCCACCTCGTCCTCCTCCTCCCCCTCCTCCTCCTCCACCTCTTCCTCGACCCCGGGGACTCGACCCCCTGCTCCCGCGGGGGGGTCCCGCGCGCGGCTGCCGCCGCCCGCCCACGACCCGATGAAGATCGCGCAGGCCCGCCCTTTGCCCTGCGCCGCCCTTGCCCAGGTTGGAGGAGGGGCGAGAGAGCAGTGCAACGTAAGAGGAGGAGGAGAATGAGGAAGAGGAGGGAGGGAGGGAACACATCACCTCAGCAGGAGGAGGATCGACTCACCCTTCGAGGTGCACGTCCCCCTGCTGAGGGGATCCGTTCGCTCCCTGCCCCCCGCTGGAATCGAATGGCGCCGTCGATCGAATCGCGCACATGTCACATCCCCCTTCCATCTCCTAACTTCTTTGCGGTCTCTTGCAGGCGGCGCATGCCGTCTGCGGACTTCACGGCCCCACTAAAAACAAATACAGGTTCGCTCGCGCAACATCTGACATCCCGCCCTTGCCCAGGTTGGAGGAGGGGCGAGGGAGCGGTGTAACGGTGTAACGTAAGGGGAGGAGGATCGACTCACCCTTCGAGGGGAGCGCCCCCGTGCTGAGGGGGTCCGTTCGCTCCCTGCCCCCCCTCGGGAATCGAATTGTGCCGTCGATCGAATCACTCGCATGTCACATCCCCCTTTCGTCTCCAAACCTCTTCGCGATTTCTCGCAAGCGGCGCATGCCGTCTGCGGACTTCACGGCCCCACTTAAAGAATACAGGGTCGCTCGCGCAACATCTGACATCCCGCCCTTGCCCGGGTTGGAGGAGGTGCGAGGGAGCGGTGTAACGTAAGAGGAGGAGGACGAGGAGGAGGAGGAGGAGGAGGAAGCGGAGGGAGGGAACGAGCCGCAGCAGGAGGAGGATCGTCTCACCCTCTCACCCTTCGAGGTGAACGTCGTCTTGCTGAGGTGCTGAGGGGATTCGTTTGCTCCCTGCCCCCCTTGGGAATCGAATGGCGCCGTCGATCGAATCACGCACATGTGTCACATGTGGCATTTCCCCTCCGTCCCCTAGTCTCTTCGCGATCTCTGGCAAGCAGCGCGTGCCATCTGTAGACTTCACGACCCCTCTAAACAATATACAGGTGTGTTCGCGCAACATCTGACATCCCGACCTGACCCCAGGCTGGAGGGCGGGCGAGGGAGCGGCGTAACGTAAGAGGAGGAGGAAGAGGAGGAGGGAGGGAGGGAACACATCACCTCAGCAGGAGGAGGATCGATTCACCCTTCGAGGTGAGAGTCCTCCTGCTAAGGAATCCGTTCGCTCCCTGCCCCCTCGGGAATCGAATTGCGCCGTTCATCGAGCCACTCGCATGTCACATCCCCCTTCCGTCTCCTAATCTCTTCGCGATCTCTGGCAAGCGGCGCATGCAGATTTCACGATCCCACGAAAAAGTACACAGGTGAGCTTGCGCAACATCTGACATCCCGCCCTTGCCCCTGCCCATCCCTTCTCATGGGGGCAAGTCTATTTCGGTGGAGCATGTTGAAACTTCTTCATGGCCAATCGCTTGGGAACATGGTTTGAACGCCGCAGAAAAGAGCAGGGTTGCGACGCGTCCATTCCCTCGGCGAGGTGCAGAAGGAAGCAGGAGGAGGGGGGTGACTTTGCAGCCCTGGGGCCCACGACAACCACCCGCCCTCTTATAGCTCTTCCCCGTCCCGTCGCCAACTGCTCGGCATTAGCATTGGTAACCTCGTCATGCCCGGTCCTGCCCCTGCTCCCTCCTCCTGCCCTTCCCCCGCTGACCCTTGACTACTCTTCATGCTGCTTCTGCTGCTCGTCCTCCTCCACAGCCATTTGGGCTCCGTTTAGAAGGCGGTCGCTCGCCAGGCGGCGCGACCCTGTCCATCCAAGGGAGAGGCCCTGCGTTAGTACGGGCGTGTTCGCCTGGCTGCGAGGCCGAGACCGCCCGAGACCGCCCGAGGCCCCATGAACGACGGGACGCCGACACCCTTGGGCAGGGCAGCTCGGCGCCAGCAGCGCGGCATGAGAAAGGGCGACATCATGATTGGCCGCACGCCTGCCCCAGCGTCTTCTCCCATCATTGCCCAACCCAGCTTGGGCACGGACAAGTATTTCAATAACACGTGCACTGACGTTGCGACCATGTTCCCGGGCGTCCCTCCAGGGCTGCAGCTCCTCAGCAAGATTAAGGAGGTCTTCCTTGTTCGTCAAGGCGTCAGGGTCGATTAGAATGGCTACGCCTCGTTATCCGATGTGTGTCATTGTGCTTCCTTTGTTGAATGTTCAGATGCGTTTGAAAAGTCCAGGCTTTGGGTGTTATTGTGCTTCCTGATGTGGGCCCGTGGACTTGTTCGTACTTGATGTGTGTAGCGTCTCTTGGGTCTGTCTGGGTTGGGGAAGAGCGGAAGAGCGGGTTCAATGCCAGTCAGCCCCGCTGGGGGTTCGCGTTCTTTTTTGACGATCGTGGGCGGCGCCAGGTTATCCCTCACGAGCTCAACGTGCGACACCAGTCCGTCGCCGTCAGGAAGTATGTTGCAAGCATCTTGAATCACGGCAACTGCCAGGACTGCCGAGGCGGTGCATGTGGCGTGCTCAGCGCTGGTGGGCAGCCTCCGTGGCGATTGATCTCTTACGCATCGCTGACTAGGGCGGTCTTTGCCGCAGCCGATAAGTTTAAGGACAATTCTAATGTGAAAGCTACCCTGGAGCAGGGACTTGTATTGGATGAGTACCATCACAGAACACCGAAAGTTGTTATTGTTTGGATGAGGGACTTCTTCAACACACATGGCGGCGGCACCGGGGTCAATGTCCACCAGATCTTGGAAATGACCCCCACCGTCGAGGCCGAGTGGTTGGACCACGCAGATTCAAAGAGGATCAAGCTGAACAAGTATGCTGGCCAGGTCAAGGCTTGGGAGTGGATCTCAGAGCATGCTACCTACGCGAAGTTCTACAAGGATAAGGACCAGTGGGAGCAGACGAAATCCTTCATGCGGGCTCTGCGCTTCAGGAAGTGGCACACCGAGTTCTTGGAGTTCCTGGGCGACGAGTGCGATTTCACGAGCCCGGACCTGGACAAGGACGAGCTCCTCGGCAACCTGCACACGGCGATAGTCATCATGAAGAAGTTCACCAAGTACGTGGAGGCCGAAGACCTGAAGATCATCTTATTCGAGCTCGTGCGCTTCATGATCCCGCTCGGCCCGCAGGTGAACCACACGGACAGGCAGTCCCTGGCAGTCTCCATTGGCCCAGTGGCCGAATTGTCCCCGAGTCAGACCCCCCCCTTGCGCCCTGCCCTCATCTCCCCCGGGAGGCTGACGCCGTTTGATCTGCTGTCATGTAGGCGGCCTCTTCAAACAGTAGCAGCTAAAGAGGAAGGGTGCCAGGGGGCTTGGCTCGCCAACAAAAATCGCACAGGGCGTTTTTCTAGCGTGTTCCACCCTGGGACCCTGGGCTCTTGACAAGCTGAAACTGGTACCGAAAAAACGCACAGTTCCCTACCTAGGCTCTGCCTAGAAGGGTTCTTACTCTCTTAGCTTAAAGGGGCCGGGCAGTGCAAAGCGCCCCAGGCGGTTCCCCCAGTCCCCTGGGAGCGGTTCCCCCCAGTCCCCTGGGAGCCTTAGCTTTAGCTTTAGCTTAGCTGTAGCTTAGCTTTTGCTTAGCGTTTCGCTTAGTTTTTCGCTTAGCGTTTAGCTTAGCTGTAGCTTAGCTTTAGCTTTAGCTTAGCTTTAGCTTAGCTTTAGCTTAGCTTTAGCTTAGCTTTAGCTTAGCTTGAGCTTAGCTTTAGCTTAGCTTTAGCTTAGCTGTAGCTTAGCTTTAGCTTAGCTGTTGCTCAGCTTTAGCTTAGCGTTAGCTTATCTTTAGCTTAGCTTTATCTTAGCTTTAGCTTAGCTTTAGCTTAACTGTGGCTTAGTTTTAGCTTAGTTTTAGCTTAGCTTTAACTTAGCTTTAGCTTAGCGTTACTCTTACTACTAATGCTGCTTTCCTAAGGGTTCCAACCCCTAGGTAGGGTCGCACTGGGATATGTTTTAAAGCGTTGTTTAGGGATGTGTTGTTGGCGTTGTTATGTTGCGTTTTTC